TTTTTTTTATTAATTGAAATTGAACAGTCGCTAACACGATAAATTATTATCAATATTATTTGACATATTGAAATAAGTAAGAGTTATTAAATTATTTGTTTTGGCATTAGCTTCTCATAATGGTCTTACGCAATTTGACAATAACGAAATTTAATTTACAGTAAAATCTCCATAAGTGCACCCACTCTAAATACACACTCAAACTCGGGCCCAACTATATAGATGATCGCCATAAATGCACCTTTTCTTTAAGTGTACGTCGTTAAAGATTGGTTTCAAGGGCGTGCACTTATAGAGGTTTTTCTGTGTTTCGTAGTTTGATAATAACGTAATTTAATATATATCGCAATTTGATAACAACCAAAATGCTATTACGTCATATATATAAAATTGGTCCGGATTCAAAAATAATTACCCATTTTCTGTTTAATTTATCAACAGCGAGCGAATAGGTGTTACGGAATTGCAACAAGAGCTTGAACAATTATCTTCAGCCTACACAATTCCTCCTGGTGCGCCAGTCTTTTAGAAGATAGATCATTAAATCTTGATGGAAATTTAGTACCTCCGGAACCCAAGTGTAGTCCATTATTTATTCCTCTTGAAAAAGGAATCGAGCTCATCAAAAGAGAGATCACATAAATGCATGGAAATGCTTTAAAGAAATTTCAGAACTTGGTGATAACACTGCCAAATTTTGGCAAGGATATTATTTGTGCCACGGATATAATGTTGTAGAAATAAATAAAACCCGTGCTAGAGAACTTTTTAAGGAAGCTGCTGATAATGGCCATCCAGATGCACAATTTCGATATGCTGTGTTAACGCTTACAATTTGAAAAATGAGGAAAATATCGCTAGAAAAGATTAACTTTGAAAAGATGAACTTTGTAAAGAAATTATACATTATTTTGGATTGGCAGCTAATCATAAGAATTATGATGCAATAAATCATTTAGGAGATATTTATCTAAATAAAAAAACTAATGCAGAACAAAATAGAGAACTTGGATTAAACTATTAAAGATTAGCAGCTAAAAGCGGGCATGAAAAAGCGATTAAACTATTAAATGGTACGTAAATATTTAATAGTTATCAGGTAAGATGCGGGACAGAGGTGGATTAGTGGTGGCAGAAACGATCCTCGGTCCGAGCAATTTAGATTGTGAGATATCGGAGAATTCGCAGAGAAATTTCATATACTACTGATTATGTGTTTGATATTCTGGATTTTATTGGGTCTGAAATCACGGGATCGAGGATTGTTTTCTGCCACCACTAATCCACCCGCAGGACAGCATCCATTTGTTGGCTCAGATCACGAGCCGATCAAATATACTAAATGACATTGATCAATATTGCCTACATCTTACCTGACAACGATATTATTCGGGAGTGTGTTACTTCGTAGACAATAACTGTTATTTTACGGTTCTCTCGGCTTTTTCTTTTTTTCTTGCTCTTTTTCTTTTTTTTCTTTTTTTTTTTTTACCGGGTGATTTTGTCAATGGATTAAAAAAGTCGTTATGATATAAAAAAAAAAAGATATGCGTGTTAAAAAAGATATTATTACTGTCTTGAACTCTTCAAAGAAGCTGCTGGTAATGGTGTCGTCGATGCTCAATTATGATATGTATTTACTTTACTTGAGAACGGTTTAAAAAATGTTTTGGAAATTGTAAAATATATGACGTTAGTTGCTGGTAATGGGAATGCTACAGCTCTTTACAATTTAGGTGATATTTATCTGAATGGAAGATTGGTATGATAGTTAATGAAACAATGGCAAAAGAATGCATTTTTGAAAAATCAGTTGCTTTTTACAAAATTAACTTTATTATGGTTTATACTATGTTAATTTGAACGAGAAACCTCTGCGCGGCTAAAAGATCCTATGGATGTTGAGGTAAAACTCTTTAATAGTTATTATTTATTCTTTTTACAAAAATTAAGGAATTAAATTTAGCGCAAGGAGAACCACCACTTTTAAAGAATAAAATACTAAAGTTTGAAGACAAATTTGAACTAGAAACTTCTGCACAACTAGAAAATCCTATGGTTGTTGAGGTATAATTCTTTTGGTTTGGATCAAAATCCCGACAGGTCATAATCTCGGGAAAAAAATCCCGATAGCAAAAATCCCGACATCCAAAAATCTGACAGTTAAAAATCCCAACAATTAAAATTCTGATAAAAAAATATCATAAATCATAGCTAACCCTAGCCTAACTCTTATCTAAAGTGATCTAACCCAAAGTCAATTAAATTATAAGAGTCTACTTCGCTTTAAACATACCCATATTTGGGATTTTCTATCTGACTAGCAGGATTTTTAATTGTCAGAATTTTTAACTGTCAGGATTTTTTGTCGGGATTATGACCTGTCGGGAATGTGCTTGTCTGCTTGTCAGGATTTTGTCTGGCACCCTTGTTAATAGTTATGAATTATCTTTATTTTGCATTAACAACAATATATATATATATTTTTTATGAAAATTAAGGAATTAAATTTAATGTTAGGAAAACCACTTTTAAAGAAAAAGCCACTAAAGTTTGAAAGTGAAAAGGAGATGACCATGTCATCATTTTATCCATTAATATTTTTTAAAAAAGAAATCAAACTTTATAAAAATGAAGCTGGCAATAAAGGGTAATAATAGTAATAAATTAATATTTTTTATAAATTTTATAGATTTACTG